TTTCTGTTTAAACTAGAAATGAGACTAGATTCTGTTATTTGCAACTGTGGATCCTAACTAAAACACACTGACTGATTATAATTAAGACAACATATAATTAAATGTTGATTAATTTGGAAATAATAGATTGATAAGTGCTACAACCCAGGCACAGTGGTGCACACCTATATCTTAGTGCCTTAGGAAGCTGAGGCAGCAGGATCATGAGTTCGAAGCCAGGCTCAGTAATTTAGCGAGGCCCTAAGCAGTGAACCCTGCTCAGGGTTCAATGAGACCCTGTTTCAAAATAAAACACAAAAAAAGAGCTGGAGATGCGGCTCAGTGGTTGAGCACTGTGAGTTCAATCCCCAGTACCAAATAAATAAATAAATAAATAAATAAGTGCTATGGATGTTCTGAAGAAAGAAAAATGAACAAGAGTTATCAGGGAAGACTTTTGGAAAGATCTGGAACTTGAGCTGTATCTTGGAATTAAGTAGGATTTAAATAGATGGATAGACAGTTGTTTTAAGATAACAGAAGTATAAAGAAATAATTAACTTTTGTGGGTGTGGTGGTGCATATCTGTAATCCCAGCAACTCTGGAGGCTGAGGCAGGAGGATTCCAAGTCCCAGGCCAACCTGGACAATTTATCAAGATCCTGTCTCAAAAAATAAAAAAAAGGGATTGGACATGGTGGTGCACACCTGTAATCCCAGTGACTTGGGAGGCTGAGACAGGAGGGTTGTAAGTTCAAAGTCAGTATCAGCAACTTAGTGAGGCCCTAAGCAATTTAGTGAGACCCTGGGGGGTGGGGGGAGGGAGGAGAGGGAGAGAGGGAGGAGGGGAGGGGATTGAAATAACTTGTGTTGGGAAAAATGGAAAATAAAATTGGGATATGACATAATTAACTGGTACTGAGAAAAATAAAATTGGGATAGCTATGTTTTTGGTGGGTACCCAGAAGCACTTTACCATTGATCTACATCCCTAGCCCTTTTTGGTGGTTATTGTTTTTGTTTTGAAACAGGGTCTTGCTAAATTGCTTAAGAGTCTAAGTTGCTAAAGCTGGCTTAGAACTTGCAACCCTCCTGCCTCAGCCTCTTGAGTTGCTGGGATTATAGGTGTGTACCACTGTGCCCATACAGGATAGCTATTTTTTAAAAAATAATTATTTTATTATTTTATTTATTTTTATGTAGTGCTAAGGATTGAACCCAGTCCCTCACACATGCTAGGCAAGCATTCTGCCATGGAGCTACAGCCCAACCCAGGGACAACTATTTTAAACAGAGAGATCACATCATGTATTCTTTTTTTAATACATCCTCATATTAAATATTATTTTAATATAATATATATATTATATATATAATATAATATAATATATAATAT